GGCCGAAAGGCATGCGAACGTAGCTATGCAGTGGGCCCTTGCAGCATCCCACGCGCGAAGGCCAGAAGCACTCCTAAGACGCGGCTCGGTTGAGCCCTGGGACGTCGATGCAGACGCACAGCCCAGCAACCTCGCCTGGATGCGGAGCCGCGCCAGGCGAGCAGCGGTCGCCGCGTATGGCCCTTGCTTCGTGAAGCCCCTCAGTGGTCTTGGCAATGAACTCCTGAACGTTGGGATTTCCATGCCATGTGTCTTCCTGAGAGAAGCGTGCCGTGAATCACGCCTCCAAGTGGTGCCCGAGCGCCTCCCTCGTGATATCGGCGAGGTCTGAGGCCCTCCAGAAGAGAGCCCCCGAGCCCCGCCCGAGGAGGGTGCCGGGCGCGCCTTCCTATGCGACGGAAGGAGGCGCCCCACATGCGGTCGCTGATCCTGACGCGACACCTCCCGGGATGCCGACCTCCCGAGGCCCTGCGCGGAGCGACTTCTTCTTCTTCTTGGGGACGGCCTCAGGAGGGTTCTCGCCCTTGCTGTCCGGGTCCTCGATTGCTGCGGCTTGGAAAGCACGCTCAAGGGAGCACACCGCATCTCTCTCTTCGCAGGGGACCGTGATGATCCCGCCACTCCCTAGCATCTTGAGGACGTTGTAGCCGTGGTAGGTCACCACCATGAACTTGGCCAGGGCTGGATACCCAAGGATGGCGTTGTACGACAGGTGGATGTAGGCGGCGTCAAAGTCGATGAGCTCGGTGCGGTAGTTGTCGCGCTGTCCGAAGGTGACAGGGAGGCGGACCTGCCCTATCGGGGTGGTGGAACAGTCGGTAACTCTTGAGAAGGGCTTGGTTGGTTGGAGCTGATCGTATGACACTTGAAGGTTGTCGAACGTCTCAACAGATAGGACATTAAGCCCTGCGCCACCGTCAATGAGGGTCTTGGTGACTTGCACATTGCTGATGACTGGTGAACAGAGCATCGGGAGAACGCTAGTGGTAGCCGTGCACTTGAGTTGGTCTGCCAAGCTGAAGGTGATAGCGCACTTGGACCACCTGAGTGGACGCGTGGCCTCGAGCTTGGGAAGGACTGCGTTCACCTCGCGGGCAAACTGCTTGAAGATTCGCTGAGAGGCTGGGGCTTGAGCTCCGCCCAAGATGCAAGCAATAGCACGTGGCTCCTGGAAGCCCCCAGCCCCTTTGTCCTGATGATGGTCTTCATTCGTTCTTGGCGGCGGCGGCAGCGGAGGAAGGTCTGTGTTACCTTGGGGCGGTCCCCACGAGGCTGGTCCCTCCAGGCGCCATCACGAGGCCGGTCCCTCCAGGCATCCTCGCGAGGCTGGTCCTGCCAGCGATCCTCACGAGGTCGGTCGCGCCAGTCCTGGCGAGGGCCACGGTCGTCCCATCATCCTCCGCCACGTCCTCCTCCTCGGCCGTAGCCCCGGTCATTGCGCTCGAGGCGTCGACCGAAGCGTCCTTCTCGAACAGCCCTAAACTCATGGCAATCGTTGGTGTTGTGGGTGTGGAGGTTGTGGTAGGCGCAGAAAGGTCGGCTGCCTTTGGACAACTCCGGCTGGTCCCTGCCGCGCTTCGTGTCTGGTTCCGCGGCGAGCACGACCACTCCCTTGCGCTTGACGTCCTTGGCCTTGATCTTCTTTTCTTCTGGGTCGGCAGTTGGGAGCTCGAGGAGGGAGAGGCGTCCCTCCTCAGCCCTTGCACACTTGGTCCCCAGGTTGAACAGCTCCAGGAATGTGCATAGCTCCTCGTGGATGGCAAGCTCCTCCTTCATCTTGATGTCACGGACGCCATCAGAGAACGCTGATATGATGGCCTCGTCCATGACCTTGGGGATCTTGACGCGGACGCTGTTGAAGCGCTGGATGTATTTTTACAGGGTCTCCCCAGGCTGCTGCCTGATGCGGCGCAGGTCACCCGTGGCCGGGGGGCGGTCGTGAGTGCCCTGGAAGTTGGCGATGTAGCGACTACGTATCTTGTCCCAGGAGGAGATCGAGCCGGGAGGCAGGTTCAGGAGCCAGGAGCGGGCACCGTCCTTGAGCTTCATGGGAAACCAATTCGCCATGACTTTCTCGTCGCCTTTGGACGCCTCGATGCTCGGCTCGTAGAGCTGCAAGAACTCCTCGGGGTCGAGGGTGTCGTCATAGCGAGGAGGCAGGTCCGGCTTGAACTTGCCCGGCCAGGCGACGCTACGCAGCTCCGGGGTGAAGGCGCGGCAGCCTGCTGTGGCCACTGGAGCCCCTTGCTGCCGTGGAGCTTGCTCTTGGTGGTGCCCGTGCACCGCTGCCATTGGCAGTGTGCGGTCTTGTCGTGCCGGTGCAGGGAGCACGGGGGCGCCTTCTCGAGGCCGAGGGATTTCTTGACAGCTTACTTCTTCTCGCACGGGCGCCGGGCGCGGTGGGTCACGCCCAGGGGCCGCGCACCTTGGTGCTAGGGCGCCGCCTTGGGGCAGAGGTGGCGGAGGCGCTCCATGAGCCGCGTCGCCCACCCCTGGCGGAGGGCGAGGCAACGAGAGGGACGGCGCGGGAGAGCCCCCTGCGGTGCTGACAAGCTCGGTGATGCGAGCGAGCCATTCCTCATAAAGGTCGTCGACGGGGCAGTAATGCAGGAGCTCGCGCGCCATGAGCAGTGCAGCCTGTGCATCCGTGGGGGTGTGACGAGCGTGGGACGACGAACCGGCTGAGGTTAGCGACAGAGTGGCGGTGCGGCTGTCCCGCCGCACCGAGGGGTGCAGTGAGGACGCTTGCTGCTCATTCCCCGCCGGCCCAGTGGCGGCGTGGGCGGCCGGCGACGGGGAGCGACGGGAAGGCCCGCCGACAGGAGCCGTCTGGGCGACGTGCGCGACGAGAGTGGCCCGGCGCTCAGCGCGGGCTCCACGAGCGTCAGACATGGCTGCAACGAGGCGATGGGACGCGGATCAGCGGAAGAAAGGCTTCGGTGCACCCCTACCTGGCGCGCCAAATGTCGGATTTCGGGTTCCGGCAAAACCCTTGAGGTTCGAACACTGGGGTGCGCACGAAGATTTTCCCCTACCGAATCTCGCTCTCAGCCACACCGCAATTTCTAAGCTTAACACGATGAGAACACAACATAAGAGACACAAGATTTATACTGGTTCAGGCCACCATTATGGTGTAATACCCTACTCGAGTGTGGTGGTGGTGGATTGCCTCTTGGGCTGATGATGAACAGTACAATGGGAAGAACAACCTCCTGAGGCGAGGTGTTCTTGAGCTTGGTGCAGTACTCGAGTTCGAGCTTATCCAGCCCCCTCCTATGGTGGCGGCTAGTCCTATTTATAGAGACCCTGATCCTCTCCCCAAATATTGAGCGAGAAGGGATCCAACAATGACCAATTCGAAAGGGGACAACTAGCACAAGTTATCCTGACTAAAGGTGGTCTTCGCCTGCCAAATGCTCAGGTGATGACTCCGTATTGGGCTCCACGGCGACCTCCGTCCTGCCGTCCTGCTGGTGTTGGTCTCGTTGCACCGATATGGAAACCTTTGCCTGATGCCTCAGTACTCAGCGCCTGCACTTGCCCCCTTAGCACTAAAGGGGAAACGAGAACACTACGCGCGTTGGCGCCCGCCTGGCCTTGGTCGTCATGGCTTGCGTCACGAGAACCTCGCGAGGTACCCCTTGCCTTGATCTCTCCGTCTCCCTCGCGAGCCTGTCTGGCAAGGCCGCTCCTGAGGAGGCCTTGGTCGTCCGCCCCGCGAGGCTTGGCCCCTCGCGAGGGTCTTGAGTGTTGGTTGACATAGATGGGCCGTATTGGGCCACTGGTGGAGCCACGCCGCGGGCCGCAGGCAAACAAGTCTGGGGACACCCGTTCCCAGAACGCCGACAGATCGCTTCGGCGCCGTCGTTAGGGCTTTGCATGTGTTGCAACTAGCCACCTCCACTCGCCGCTGGTTGTGTGATCGGACCTAGCAGTCCGTCGTACGATGTTCCTCCTGCACGCGCGGATACCGTTAGAGGCGGTGCACTTGCGCTGCTCCGGCGAACCTGTTCGTGGGATCCGATCGATACGTGGGAGACCGGCAAGGAGGAGACGACTCCGGGAACACGAGGCGACTCCGGGGACGCGCTGCCCCAACTCTTTTTCCGCTGCACGGCACTGCGCGTCTAGTGATAACGATCTGTGATCCATTCTCGTAGCATGTTTCTGGTTGTTCTGCACGTAGGAAATTTTAATTTGAAGTCGATACATCCTACCGTAGAACCTAACACAAAGCATTTCTGCAGCCCCTCTTCACTGATCCACAACAAATGTGCCCACATTGCCGAAGTTTGACCAGTCACTTTCATCCTTGTCTTCCACCTCAATATGGAAGAAGCCTAGTCCACTGTTAGCACTACCCCAGTACTGAGCAGTGGGCATTGGCTTATACCGTGTTTGGCAAACATCGATATGGTGGCCAGTAGTTCTGCAAATGAAGCAGACTTTAGGAACTTGGCACATGCCAACAAAGTGGCCAGGCTGGCCACAATTGTAGCGGATGGCACCAAAGAATTTAGGACCCACAGAACTAGCCGCAGCACCGACCTGATCAATCTTTTCCAACTTAAGTACTACCAGCACTATTATTATCTTACACAGCAGTAGCAGACTTCTGTTGTGAGTTCTTGCTAGACCAACACATCCATTTTTTAGGCGTGTAGTGAACAAACTACGCAAGTGTATGCTCTTAAAACAAAAATGAAATAAGATTACAATATAGGAGTAATTTCTTAGTTCAACAAGAATCTATCTGCAGGCTACTCCAAGTTGAGAAATCTGAAAATGCAGGCTACTTGGTCTGCCACCCGTGCCGTACCGGCCGTCTGCTTTAGCGACAACAGAAGATGACACCACTGATTACTGATACACAAAACACAATCGGGTTACAGGGCAAGCCTATCGATTTTACACGAGTAGTCTCCATTATTGAAGAAGAAAGGATTTCGCTATGCTCCTTGCATGGTAGTACTACTATGTTCAGTTTCTTGGTTGGTTCAGTAGCTGCTGACGATGAGGAGGCCGATGGCGGTGACGATGATGGTGGACGGCACCCCGAACCGGAGGTGGCTCCAGAAGGAGAGGTTGTAGCCGAAGAACTGTGCCCGCCTCGCCTGCTCGCACACGATCAGGTTCGCCGCCGACCCCAGCAGTGTCAGGTTCCCGGCCACCGTGCTCACGTACGCCAGTATCAGCCACGCCTTCCTCTCCGACGCCGGCGAGATCGCCGCCGCAGAAGCGGCCACCCTCGTCCCCAGCAGCAGAACTGAAACACCACCAAAAGTTCTTTAGAGCACTGCAATTTGCAGTTGCCAGGAGTACGTGAACCAAAAGTTCAGAAGTATTGTCGTTGTTACCTGTTGGAACATTTGATGCGACGTTGGAGAGGATAAGGATGACGAGGCCGAGGAGCGCGACGCCTCTGGCGCTGTCGATCCGCGAGTAGGGCTCCACCAGCTCCCACATCGTGTTGGGTATGCCGGTCTTGTTGAACCCGTCCACCGTGATGAACATCCCGCAGAAGAAGATGAGCAGCGAGTAGGACACCTGCCAATGCCGAGTTCATTCATGGCAGCTAGATCAGCAACGATCGAGTAGGACGCCATATATATATATGCTCATTGTTCATGGAAGAAAGAAAATCATATAGGGATTACCTTCTCGAGGCAGGCCTGTGCGTCGGTGAAATCGAGCGCGAGGAGAACGAGAGCGGCGGTGATGGCGGTCCAGGACATGTTGAGCCCCATGAGGAGGGCGATGAGCATGCCGAGGGTGATGAGGTACACGGCCGTCTTCCACACCAGCACCTTCCACCTCTTCTCCACGACCTCGGGCAGCTCCCCCTTGTCCTTGTCGCCGTTGGCGGCGGCCTCGTCGTCTGTGGGCGACGACGGCGGCGCGTCCTCGATGATGACGCTCCTCTGCTGGCTGGCCGTCCTGGTGAACTTCCTGGAGGAGGCGCCGTCGATGAGGACGGGGACCGTGGAGACCTCCACCATCTCGTGCGACATGCTGGAGGAGCGGAGGGACCTGATGGAGAACTGCATGTCGGCGTCGGCGGCGTTGGCGTTGGAGTTGACGCTCCTGCTGCGCAGGTGGTCGCCGTTGACGCTGGCGCTCCTGATGATGGGCTCGCTGACGCAGTCGAAGTCGTCCGGGTTGATCGAGGAGACGTGCGACATCCTGGCGGGCGTGAAGCGGTGCGAGGTGACCTCGTCGTCGCCGACGACCTCGGGCCCAGCGGAGGCGGAGACGCCGCCGCGCTCCTGGTCGGCCGGCTCGACGTTGAGGTACCTCCAGAAGTAGCAGAGGAGGATGGCGGCGTTGGTGAGCACGCCGACGATCATGGCGGGGAAGACCCCGAGGAGGAACTGGCCGAAGGAGATGCCGCTCTCGACGGCGATGACGAGGTTCTGCGGGTTGCCGATGGGCGTGGCGGCGGAGCCTATGTTGGAGCTGGTGGCGAGCGCGAGGAGAAACGGCTGGGGCGGGAGGTTGTTCTGGCGCGCGACCTTGAGGATGAACTCGGTGAGGACGACGCAGCAGGTGTCGTTGGTGAAGAGCGCGGAGGCGATGGCGGAGACGATGCAGACGCGGAAGAGCAGGTCCTTGGGGCCGCGGCTCTTCCACTGGAGCAGGTTGCCGAGGTACTTGAACATGTCGGCGCGCTCCAGGAAGATGGAGACGACCATGGTGCCGAAGAGGAGGCCGATGATGGGGAGGTCGATGGCCGCGTACGCGTCCTCCGGGGAGATGACCCGGAACAGCACCATGAGCATGGCGCCTAGCAGCGAGCCGGCGGTGCGGCCGACGGGCATGAAGGGCACGCTGGGGAAGACGGCCAGCACCCAGAAGATGCCGAACGCCACGCATCCCAGCACCACCTTGGACGTGTGCGCCAGCACCATCTTGGAATTCTCTTGTCTAGCCGACACAGAATTCTACTACTGGCTATTCTGCACTTTGAAGATCAAGAACCTGTCGCAGCAGCTAAGAGAGGGGAAAGAACAGTACACTAGAGTGAACAGCAATCAATCCCCAGGCAAGGTCAGACTAGGTTAATCGGAGGAGTGATCCTGCTGGAATCGATCGATCGGCAGCAGCGACAGCAATCTCTCCATGCACGCGCAGCTGAACTCGAGAATATCCTGCAAAATCCGAGCAACAAAAGAACAGTTTTAAATCCGGAAGCTAAAGAAGGCAGGATCAATTAGCAGAAAAAAAAGGAAAGCAAAGATCCTTGTGTGGACGAAATGAGTCTAATTTTGGGCGGCGAACACAAAAGCGGATGCATTCTTAGCGAAAACCGGGGACAGGCACAGCGCATATGGAATGGATATCAACAATCAAGAAGCAGAGCACCACCGCGCCTACTCACGTTGTGTCCTGCAAACAATCCAAGCGAGACAAAATTAACATCCCTCGTCCCACACATGCCGATGATAAACCCTACACATCCGAACTATACTAGATCTCATGGTCTGTTCTACATATGCTTGGGACCAATGGATTGGGAAAAATCCGTCACGAATCCACCCGTGAAGTGGCGCCAAGAACACACACACACACACACACACACACACACACAGGACAAGAGATCATGCGTCCTACATAGACTGGTTTCCGAGAGAAATCTAAGAAACTGAACTCGGGTTGGGGATTGATTGCTGACCTCGGACTGGAGTAGGGGCGTGGATGGATAGTCCACAGTGAGTGAGTGCTCTCTGCTCTGCTGTGGCGAGAGCGAGGAAGAGGAGGAGGAGCAGTGGGGAAGTGGAGGTGCTCTGTATGTTGGATCGAGTGGAGGCGAGAATAAAGCGAAGAGGGGGCCAGCTATAAATAAAGGGGAGGGGCCGCGGCCACCATGAGAGCGGCGGTCAGCTTTCGTGGATGAGGTGACCCGCTCGGGTCCCACCGCCGACGACGATGAATTGAGTGAGGGTCCTCCTAGGATCACCATTTTGTTATGTACACACCGGGTGGTGACCCAATGTTTGAGTCACCAGTAGCCTAGCCGTGTGCCACGTGTTTCGGTTCACCGCTACATTCAAACATGAAAACATTTTATGTTCAAATATTTCTAGAATTATACTCCCTCCCTCCGAAAATACTACTTGTCAGGGAAATGGATAAAATTGAATGTATCTAAAACAAAAATATGTCTAGATACATCCATTTCTCCAACAAGTATTTTCGGGACGGAGGAAGTATATACTAAAAGTGGATTAATTTTTGAGATTGTTCCTTCAACACTTCACAACTAAATTTAGCCCGACTGATGTTCCAAAAAAAAGAGAAATATGTTTTTCACTTATTTTAAATTATGTTTTAATTGCAAATTATATTAAACTCAGTCTGACTTTTGTTATATATTTGGTTCATTCCTTGAAAGTTGTTCGGCAGGTTTTCCCTGTTGTCTATGATAGAGAGTAAAAAAAACACAAAATCTACTCGTATCAACACAAAATAAAAAGGTTTGTCAGTTTCTTGAGGGTTGGACAAGAGGTTTTTGTTTTCTAGGAAAACGAAGGAAATAAAGATACTGAGACCACCCCTTACTCGACACAATTCATTTTGGCTTTTTGCATGACTAAGCAAAGCTGATGATGCGTGTGGCATGACGACCACCAAATCACATATTTATAGTGGTAATTTCAGGTTGAAGTTAGCCCTTTCAAAGCAAAAACCTCGGATATATTGAAGCATTTATATAAGAGCTATCAAGCCTAAGTTTGTCATGGTGGTGCCGTGAGGGCAACACAAAAGAATCGACAAACACAAAACATATAAACTTACTCTGACTTTTGTTATATAATTGGTTGATTCCCTAAAAGTTGTGGGATAGGGTTGTTCCTTTTTTCAATGCTAGAAAGTGAAAACTGCAAACCTACTCGTACCATCACAAACAAAAAGGAAGTTTTGCCAGTTACTTGAGGGTTGCACAAGAGGTTATTGTTTTTGTGTGAGAATGAAGGAAATAAAGAAACTAAGACCACCCCTAGCCCGACACGATTCATTTGGTTTCTAGCATGACAAAGCAAAGTCGACGACGCGTGCGCCACGGTGATCACCAAACCACATATTTATAATGGTAATTTCATGATGAAGTTAGCGTTTTTCAAAGTAAAACCTCAGGCAATTTGAAGTGTTTATATGTATATATAAACTATCGAGACTAAGTTTACCGTGGTGATACCACGAGGGCAACATGGAAGAATCAAATCAAAGAACACAGAGAGCCTAGGATGGTTCAGTAAAATATGGGTAGTTGAATAACTCAACATATTTTTAAAAAAATACATAAATTAGAATCATCTACCCAATCATACCCCATTACATATTCGAAAGATAGTCTATAACCCCAATACATATTCGAAAATCCTAAGGATGGCGTGAGGACTTGTTTGATCCAGACATACTCTTGCTACACACATACAGGGTTGCTCAAAAGGGTGGTCTTAGCAATTCCGCATGTCAGTCCGGCTAACGCATGTGATTCGCCGGGCAGCCACGAAGGAGCCGTGATCCCTTGCCTTTGGATGGATTTGAATGATGATTAACATTTGCGCGTGGGACGTGCGTGCGTGGCGGGCCAGCTGATGGGCCTAGCGATTCCCTGATCCAAGAAACTTGTTGAGCTTGGGCAGCAGGGAAACCCGCGTATGTACGCGCTCACCAAAAAGACGCAAAAACGCGTCCGTTGCTCGCTGATTCGCCATCTCGACCGTCCGTTCTTGGCCCATCCAACTACCCCGAAACGAAAGGAAAAAAAAAAGGCATCCTTTCTGTTGTTGTTTCGATGATAATCGCAAGAGGTTTCAGTCATGGATACTACTGCTCAGCAGTCGCTGCAGTGCCAGTTCCAAAAGGAAAAACAAAAAGAGATAAGATTGGGACGCTACAGTGTTCATGCCATGGGTTGTGGCCTGCTCCAGAGCCCACCATTTCTTGTCTTGTCACGGCCGCCTGTGTGGTCCTTAGATACACGGGCACACACACTGTAGGTAGTATCCACATCCACGGAGTGCTGAGCTCAGATGTCACGAGCTCGTCGTGCTAACCAATTGCCGACCAATGACGATCGAGTAATCTACTGCTAATGCTAGCATCGGGGGAAGGTGCAGCTAACGGACTACCTACGAAGAGCACAAAGCTTTGGCAGTGGGAGAGCTTTTGGCATGAGGGAAGTGATGTCCGGGCCCACTGCATGAGAGATTTGACAAAAGTGCCACCCAGCGTGGGGAACTCTGGTTCCTTCCCACAATTGATGTAAAAAAAACCCTCTGTTCCCACAAGATTGTCCAAAAAAAAAACTCTTGGTTCCCACAAGATTGTCCAAAAAAAAAAACTCTTGGTTCCCACAAGCGCTTCCGTGTCCAAGTCTTTCCTCTGTTGCTAAGAACATTTTACACCTGCAGATTTAAGCACCGTCGAAGCAGACTCGCAATCACACCAATTACCCAATGCATTTTAGTTTTTGTAACCATATTTATGTTCTTTTTTCCGGCAATTGTAACCGTATTTATCATCCTCAAGAGATTTTAAAAACTCCTATTTGCATATGTTGCTGGCATTTGAATTCCCCTCCCTCCGCCCTGTGTTTCTCAGTAATGAAACATTTTTTTTAACATTTTTCGAACTGCCGTTGTGTTCATATATGTTTTTTTTGCAGGATGTGTTCATAGATGCTAAACGAAGGGTTTTAATGAGTTTCATTGTGGTTTCATAATTCCAGAAAGATTTACGTTGCCTTGCACATGTTTAGTCTTGGTGACATCGATCGTCGATCGATTCAATAAGGTTTGCTTAAGCCCATTGAATTTTATGAATCCATTTGTGTCTGCAAACCTTTTAAAACACTTCGGCAAAATATTTAGCCCAAAGAAACACAATTGAAATCTCTTTGAACCCAAGATCAGACTCATAAGAAATAAGAAACTTTTTGAAACCATTTTTTTTCTCATCGAGGTAGCGACTCCAGGCCAAGTTGCATAGTCCGGGTTGAATTGCAATTGAAACCACAATTGCATTCATGGATATTGTGGTAAGGGTCCCACCACCCAATAATAATGATTTAAACTAGGTCGGCAGTGAAAATTCTGGACAAGTAATGTTTTATCAAAATATATTCTTGCCATCTAAAAGCAATGTTTTATGAGTAAAATCAGGTCACCCCTGGCCACGAGTCGGCGTCTTCCTTGCCTAATTGCAAGCAAAGAGATTCGTATTAGCTATTATTAGAAAGTTAAACGTTATTACAGTGCCGTGATTCTATTTTGGTCGCGTGATATGATTCGTTTTCAAGTCATGTCGCAGCGATTTGCTTTCGATTTAGGAGAACAAGTAACAGCAGCAAGCACTCAGAGACAGAGCAAAAATGCGCTTTTCTTTTCCTTTTTGCTTGCGGGTAGCAAAATCCTCTGTTAAATCTATCTCTGAACTCTGATGAGCAATCGGGTGCGTGGGCATGACGGCATCGCACGTACGTACGAGCTGGACAATCCACCAACAAATAACATCTCCCGTGCGGCCGTCGTGTGTGCACGCGTCTTCACGCCGGCCAGCCGCCGTCTGATCCCCTCCACGCAACCGTATCAGCCGTCCGATTGCGAAGACACAAGGAAAAGAAACTCGACTTTTGCACCCGTGTGTGCGTGTGTTGTGTGTAGCAGGACAAGATCACGCTGGATCTTTGCTCGCCGTCGCTTTGCGCCGGAAAGCCAACCGCTCGCCGTAAAAAGTGCTATAAGCTTCAGAGAACATGCCAAGCCAGAAGAAAAGTCGAACATATATTATTTTGTCAATTTCTTTCGGGGATTGGCGTCTGCCTGTCAACCTGTCATGCTTCTGGGCAGGACAGGTGGCCGACGATATCCATTTTTTTTTAAAACGCCGCGGAATGAGCGCG